GTGTGTGTGTATATTAGTCATATATATACGATATAGATATATAGTTATTACGTATATATATATATATATATATATACGAGTGTGTGTGTGGGAATGTGTGTATGCGTGTGTGTGAGAGAGTGAAGGTGTGTGTGTTTGTACAATTGTGTGTTCGTGCTTGTGTGTTTCGTTTTGGTGTGTGCGTGTGTGTGTATTTCTGGATGTGCGTATGTTTGTATTTGTGATATTGTGCGTATGTATTGAACCCATTTCTACATGCAAGTGTGGGCATAATTCTACATTTATACATTTTTTTATGTGTATGCTGAGTTACGAACTTTAAAAAATAGAGTATATTCAGATAGATTTAGCTTGATTCCTTATTCGCGCACAATACCTGCACGCTTGTTGCAGAGATGGGGCCATAGAAGGATACTGTGTTGAACCTGAGATGAAAAGAAGCGTCTTTCCCTTCAGCATTGCCATGCGCTCATTCTGAGCTTCCTCGGTGGCGACGTTCTCGAATCCCATTATGGTATATTCAACTACAGTCAATATCAAAGATGAGGTTTATAATGTTATTTCAACGTTAAGAATATATAAAGTCCACGGTAATATTTTGATAAGTTTATATATAGCAAAGTATTTGGATGGCAGAAGCCAGAAAGTAGGAAGTCACTGTCCCCTGATAAATACCATTATGATGAAATGTAGTTTACATGAAATATGTGGCCACATATCATAATAGCTTTTTCCCGCTCAGCGGGGTTGCTCTTTTCTGATAGTATTCGTGTTGGCACCCTACTATAGGCTGATGCCTATGCAGTATGCGGCAAAATTACTATAATTAGGTATAATAATTAAATATAGAGCCTATAAAGCTATAAAGACGTACGAAAAGTCCATAGGCTTAAATAACGTAGCAGTGAGAACATAGTGGAGGACTAGGGCCCAGCCAATCACTGATACTTTTTGTTGAGAAATGTCATAGCCTCTAATCAGAGCCTTCAGAAGTTCAGAGGGCTATGGAAATCAGAAATGTTAAGGCAGAAATATGAAGGACAAAAACATTCCCCTGGGGCCTGGGTCTGGGGCCGTTAAAAGATAAATTTTATTATTTGTGGGTTTTTTTTAAAAACAAAAATAATAATACGTTTTTAAATATGTAAGTATTTACGTAAATATTCTGTTCAAGAATGTTTTATTATTTACTTTAAAATTAATAATTATCAGCTTTGTTTAAAATTTAGAAGGCTATGTTTGCTTCAATTTATAAATGTATAAAAAACAAAAGCATTTTCTTTTCTTAGGAGGCTATGGTATTTCTTTCTTTCTAAACCCTAAATCCAAAAATTCCTCAAACCCCCGAACTGCTTTTGGGTTTCTTGCATCGAACCCTAAAATAAGTGAATTTAAAAATAACCATAACCTCTATTTCATTTCAACCATTGCGTTTCTGTTCCTATGTCTATACTCTGTAGGCCGGCCGCGTGGCACCAGGTTTCAATCTCCATCGCATAGGGCACTATTGGCCAGAGATAGAACGCTCAGACTTTACTGTATGTGTGGAAAAAAAATGAGTTAAATCGGCACAATATTGACGGAGATATAGCCGGCTCCTCAAGTGTCAAATACACGTTGCGGATTGAGCACACTGCGACATTGCGGATTGAGCACATCTGCTTGCGCGGACATGTAAAAGACCAATATCGGTGTAAAAACATGTAAATAATTACATAGGTTTACTAAGTAAAGCCGAAGGGACATGCAGAAGCAATTGTATCTGGTTTTCGAGTGTTACTTTGGAATACATTCACACCATTCGCCTCCCATTCTTTGCAATTCAATCGTTCGATGGCTGAAATGCCGTGTATTCCTACTATCAAACCGAAAGACTTGCATCAACCGCGCCCTCTGTCCGGGGTATTCATATCACATAAGCCATTTTCTACGCTATTCAGATAACCCTGAAAATTTATAAGAAACGGTTGTTTTCGAATCTGAAGTTAAATATCTAACGTATAAATATTTACAAGAGCTGCAAGAGCCACAAAACTTGAGAATGTCACTCTTGAATTCAATTTAGATACTATTCTACATAGTTCGCATTCATTATCTTCATTATCGGCTATCGATAGAGTAAAATAACATGGGCGGGATTTGGCTTACACACCGAAAACGCACTGCTGGGTGTTTTCAACCTGCTGGGTATTCGACTGGGGTACTTATCCTAGTGACGACTGGTCGGATGGAACCCATGTGATACCATCACAGTTATTAAGTACAAGTTTTCGTGATATTTTACATTTATGCACCTGTATTCACATGTATATGAGACTCCTTTACAGTTACATAAATGTGTATGGGATACCTGTATAGATCCACACATGTGTATGGGATACCTTTACATCAAGTACCAATGTTCGTTTTATAGTTTGTATAAGGCTTTGTGTGATATGGGGCTCTGAAATTATGGTGCTTCGTTGGATAATCATACTGATCTACGAGTTTCTAACTCGTCCGTAATTTTATTTATTAGAATTAATTTCCTAACTGTCTAGCCCGCAATCAGCGTCTTGTGCTAAAATCTATTCGGCTCCGAAGTATTATCTTGGAAAAAAAATCCCATTCATCGGATGGCGAGCGGCAGGTAGAGAGAGCCCGGGTAGGGTTGCCCTCTCTCGCCTATTGAGAGTCATTGAAAAGGTCCAGCTTAGAACTCTCTTATATTCTGACGTGTGTTATTGGCGCAGAATCGCACTAACCTGTGTCGTATCACTATCTGAATCATACTTGCAACGTCATGCCGTTGTGTACAAGTCCCTTCATGTATAAGCATATCCATCACGTATGTATCATACTATTCCGGACGAATCATGCCATACCACTAGCGGATGTAGCCGAACCAGCACTCGCACTACCCACATCTAACGACGGAAGGATGTCACTACGCGGACAGAACACATTGAAGCCTCCCTCTTGGATTATAGCCGTGGCTTGCTTGATGTCTGGTGCCATGTACCTGTCAACATCATAGAACGGCACACGCGCCCGTACCAGAGCTTTGCCTGCCTCGACTTGGCCGGATGAGAGGGATGGGCTGTTTGTGGGATGGAGAATATGAAGGCGAGGGGTCAGAAATCACGTTTTGGAGCGTATATATGCATACATACTTGTATCTAGGTATCAGCAGACTATATTGTATAGAGTACACGATTCAACCATTCCTACTCTCTGTTTGTGTATGTGTGTGTGTGTGTGTGTGTGTGTGCATGCCAAGTCACAGCTCACACACCTTCGGAAATCCAACCCCTGGCACGCGCCGAGCATCTCAATACCGACGATACCCGCCGTGTTGAAAGCCATGTCGTGCAGCCGTCTGGCTGCGTGCGTTGCCATGGAAACGTGATCTTCCTGATTGGCTGATGTGGGGAGAGAGTCCACTGACGCTGGGTGTGCGAGACACTTGTTCTCACACGCCAGTGCCGCAGCAGTTACCTGTAAGTAGATAGGAATGTGTGTTAGGTGAGCTTCATTGTATTTGTTATGATAGCGAATACAAAACACTCTCGTAGCTAAGAGAACCCGTGGTCCGGCATACTCGAAATGTAGACTAGTTTCGCCCTGCAATATTGGGCACAATTTCAATCTGAGCCACCACGTTCAATGACAGTTCAGCTGAATTAGATATCCTTGTATACACCCACACATTCAGCTGTAGCCTGCCTACCTGTGCGATCATGAAGCCGGAGTTGACTCCTCCGTTATCTACCAGGAACGTGGGCAGTCCCGATATAGCACTATCGATAAGTAGGGCCATCCGCCTCTCTGAAATGGCTCCGATCTCTGAGATAGCCAAGGCCAAGTTGTCCGCTGCGAATGCTACGGGCTCTGCGTGGAAGTTGCCACCGCTCAGGATCACACCTTCCTCCTCGAATACTGGCGTGTGTAGAGGGATGTGGTTCATGTTAGTGATTTAGGACACACGGGATAGCAATCATGCGTGAGGTATAACACAAGAGGGTCGAAGGGCTCTAAACTTGATCGTATTGTATGTGGAGAACGGTCTAGGTACAGGCAGGAAAATAAAATGGCCGTTACCTTATAGTAAATAACTATTCCCCATCGCATTGCCATTAGTCACGTACAGGCACACAAGAGTACCCAGACTCTGAACCATTTGTCAACCGCGCTCATGAGACTGTGGACATACCTAGGGGATTATCAGTTACAGCGTTGGCTTCGGTGAGGAGAATGTCGGCCGAGTTTCGGATCTGCGTCAGACACGCGCCCATGACCTGAGGCTGACATCTCAGACTATAGGGGTCCTGTGAAGGTAATAGGATGCATAAAATAAGCCAAGTGTGTCAGACATAGAGTGTATTGGCGGTGCCAAGAGCACCGTGGCTGCAAAGCCGTATTGTGTACTAAGGTACTGCGTTATACTGCAGGATTATATTTATGTGTTGAGTGATCAAATAACACGTGTGTGCTAGTAGGAACGAAAGATATGTGCTCGGCGACGAGCTCGTCACGCATTCTGAAGCTGATATAAAGTCGTAAGGGTGTCTCGGTGAGAATAGGCGTAGTATCGCAGGAAGTGGCACCTTCCTCAAAAACATAACTACGTTTCTGTGGGCATATTTTTTAAGTATCAAGTATGGTAATATGTTTCATACCTGGACCTTCGCACACTCAGTGTGTGAGACCGAGATTTGACTGCCCCTCCGCTGTAGGCCGTCGTGGGTTGATTGCAAGTCGTGCTCAGCAGCGCCCAACAGATGACGGTACACAAATGCGCTGTCAATCTGGCCCTTGTGTCCTCGCACCTCGTGGATTCTGTTGTGTGTATGGAAGTTCAGTATATTTAGTACTTCTCGTTTAGTACATCTCGTTTAGACAGCGCTTACTCAGGACCATTGTGGTTCTTAGTACATTTGTGCATAGAATATATGACAGAGACCATACACATAGCTGAGATGCGGACACATACCCTCGTAAGCACATCACACACCATAGTAGGACTGTAATGCCACAGTCAGCAACGACACCGACACTGAGTGCTCTAGACATTACCTGCGGTCGAATGGGCGGTGGCTGCCCATAGCTGCCTCGATGCTCATACTGCCGGCCATGCTACCTGCCATGTACAGGTTTTCGGCGGCAAACAGACCCTACGCACAAATGGAGTGAAAGATGTGTGAGTATAACTGCATATTTATATAGGGACGATGAAAACGAAGCAAAAGTTTCAAGAAGGAGTCTTCAAGGATACTATAAGTTTACCATTGTACACAGATTACATCCTTCGTTTGTGATTAAATACACACTCACAAACAAACATATATATATGTATAATCCCAACACACCTCAAGTGCCAGTGCAGTGGACGCCTGCGTGCCGTTCAACAGGGCCAATCCCTCCTTAGGACCCAGCACAATGTGCTGTAGTCCAGCCAACTCCATAGCCTCAGCACCAGACATTTCCTTACCATGATGTGTTGCTTCACCTTCGCCTACTAGAACACACGCGATGTGTGCCAGAGGTGCCAGATCGCCTGAGGCTCCTACAGAGCCCTTGCAGGGCACCACGGGGTAGATCTGTTTATGGGTTGGAAGTGGTACGAGTGGATTTGTTTAGTACAAACTCGTGAGGCAAACCCAATGCAGTAAAGAATCGCTGAATTTGATATAGGACGTACTCCCACAACAACAACAAGGTATATTGCATGTGCTGGCTCACTATTCCGATGTACGGTTCATCAACGAAACCCTACTGTGTGCAATAAAACAAAGACAGGGTGTCCGTGTTTGTAATAGACAAGGACGTGCACGTACCTGCTTGTTGTACAGGGTGATCAAGGCATCGATGACCTCTCGGCGGATACCACTGTACCCTCTGCTGAGCGAGTTGATCTTAAGCAACATCATAAGACGCACGGTAGAGTCCTTCATGGGTTCACCAATGCCTGCGGCGTGCGATAGCACCAGCGACAACTGTAGTGTGGACAGTTCTTCTGGAGAGATGGTCTTGGCCGCTAGTTTGCCGAACCCGGTGTTGACTCCATACACCTGTGCGTTTGGCGGGGAGATGAGAGTCTATCAGTCAGTACAGATGTGCTAGGTTGCAGTAATGTCGGTATAAACAAACACATGCATGTAATAATTAATAGCTGTCTGTATACATAGAGGAGAACGTCATACGTGCACAACACTGCTGGCGAGTGGGAGATGTCGGTAAATGGTGTCAGAATCGAGTGTGTAGTCGAGGCATAGCACAACAAGGCACAGTTTGGACCCTGATACAACATCCGAAACAACTGCACTACAATACGACCCCAAACAGCAACCGACATTTCGAGACCAACAACTAGGCCACTAACTCAAGAGGCAAGGTCACCTCAATGGCCTCACTCAGTATGACGACGCGGCAAATAGCACATCATGGGAAGACATAGGCATGACTAGGCATATCAACCCATCCGTTTACAACGACACAATACGTATCTAAAGGGACTCTATATCTATCCCAAACGACCACATACGAAGACATAGCCATGACTAGGCATATCAACCCATCCGTTTACAACGACACAGTACGTATCTAAAGGGACACTATCTATCCCAAACGACCACATACCCGTCTTCCCTCCGCTAGCACTTTAGCCACCAGCTCGGCAGACTTTTTGATCTGCGCATCGGCACTCTTATGCAACGCCAGTTTGGTGTACGGTCTAGCGTGCACATCCATGCTGTTGTGCTCAGAGGCCTCTTCCACCACCATACGCATCATGGCCAGAGTCAGCTCCCCAGGTACCAGCTCAAGCACGCCATTGCAGACACCCTCAGCCCCATCGGTTGACTTGACTGCAGACGATTCGTTGGTGTCCTTGTGCTCTTGTTTGTGTGAGCGGATGGGCTTGTTGGGGGTGTGCAGCATAGGTAGGTCGAGGTTAGCTTCGATTGCGCACTCTTTAGCGATGTCGTAACCAGCGTCGGCGTGTCGCATGACACCGGTAGCGGGATCGTTCCTCAGCACTCGGCCCTGTATTAAAGAGGTGTGTGTGCATACATGTGAATATAAAGATGCATGTTGCACTGTGCAAATTGAGTTTTCAGAAACCTAAAACACTACTACGCCTGCAAGCTAGTACAGATAGAAAGACTAGAGCTTGAGCAACCTATAAGACTCTCATGCCTGCTCCACCACCATCATACCATGAAAGCCACCTCGTACAATTTCACACACATATGAACAAAGCGCATTCCCATAACCACCAGTACATCTATCCGAAGTCATACCAGGCGTTCGTAGGCACTGTCTGTTCCATCCGCCACAATCACTACACCAGAGTGTTGGCTGAAACCCATGCCCACACCACCACCGTGGTGTAAGGACACCCATGTGGCACCGCCAGCTGTGTTGAGCATAGCGTTCAGTAGAGGCCAGTCACTGACTGCGTCAGAGCCATCCATCATCGATTCCGTTTCACGGTTAGGGCTGGCCACAGATCCTGCAGAATGTGATAGTGGGGGTAGGAGGTCAGTTGTGGTGATATAGGACACGTGGAAATGTGTAGCCGCAGTATGTGTGGCATCCTGTAAGGTTCTAGGGTGGTTTGAGTAAGAATAAAGTGAAACGCCACAAGATAGAAAGCGAAAAATAATGTACTTGTTACTCACCGGAGTCAAGATGATCACGGCCAATGACAATCGGGGCAGAGAGCTCTCCATTCTTCACCATTTCGTTGAAGGCCTGGCCCAAGCGGTATCGGTCCTTGACACCTACCCAGCAGATACGAGACGGCAATCCCTGTAGTCCAAGATAAAGCACAGATACAGTTCAGGATATAAGTTTCTACTCAACGGAAATTATCAACTAAAATCGAAATCGATGCACACTGAACATAGCGCGCCTCACACGTCGAATATCGTGTGTGTGGCACGCATTCCGTAACCCATACACGCTGTATCACGTACCTGGAAGGCGATGCGTTCGCGGGCCATGTCCAACCAATTGTGCAGGTGCTTGTCCTCGGGGATCAATTCCTTCACTTTAGCATCGGTCTTGTAGATGTCCTCGGGATCACCGGACAGGGCCACCCAGCGGAAGGGCCCAATGCCCTGACAGAATAGGGGGCGGATGTATGCGGGAACAAACCCGGGGAAGTCGAATGCGTTGGCTACACCCTCGTCGAGCGCCACCTGGGATTAGAGCGTTATAGGCTTGTTACTTACAAGACAGTGCCAATAGAAGTCTCGATGGACAAAGTACGCATTTAGTATACCTATGTTTGTTTGCGGGAACTCAGTCATAGATCGGGCCAACAGCGAGCGCAACATAGGAATAGTTATTGGCATATATTATCAATTAACCTAATACAAGTGCCAATCCATCCTGAACCATGTACGTACTCTTGTACATACCCAGTGCGATATGATTCTTACATACCTGTCGGATATTGTTTCCGTAGTCAAGTGTAGCTGCTCCTCGACTCTGCAGGGTGATCATGGACTTCACCTGTTGCGCCATGCTCTTCTTGGCCTCCTTGATAACTGTTTCTGGAGAGTCCGCTTGTGCATCCTTCCATTGCTTTACAGTCCATCCGTGGGGTAGGTATCCGTGAGTGGGATCGTGAGCTGAGGTTTGATCTGTAACAACGTCGGGAAGGATGTTTCTATCGACCACCTGTGTGTTGTAAATGTGTGCACGGTATCTAGTGTGTGAGTCGGTGTCGAATAAAGATGACGCACTACAAGTAGCATACGTAAGTTCACTCATTGTATCGAAGTTCTTTCACAACGATCATCAAGAAAGCCATACAACACAATGCGACATCAACAATGATCCGATAACCCAACAATCTGAAATCATAAGAGCTATATATCACGTACCTCTGCGAACACGTCACAGGCGTTGCCTAGCAATCCAACGCTAATAGCCTTTCCCTCTTTCTTGGCAGTCTCAATTCGTGCTAGAGCTTCATCAAGTGTGTACGCTTTGTAGTCGACATAGCGAGTCTTCAGCCGGAAGTCAATGCGACTCTCATCACACTCAACTGCAATCATACAGAAACCAGCCATAACCGCCGCAAGTGGCTGAGCACCACCCATACCACCCAGGCCACCTGTCAGAATCCATCTTCCTGTAATGAAAGAGAAACACAGGATCCAGGCGACTTGTTTAGGTGGCTGTCGGTAATTCTTTGTACAATTAACATCGCCACCATCTACATGCAATTCCTCGGGAAAGAAGAGCCCAATTCAGACATTGCAGGGAATACTACACCGGATAATTTCTACTCATCGTCAGTTATTTAAATCAAGTACAATAAAAGACAGATAGTACAGCTCCGAAAGGACTCATCGAAGCAAAACCGCGCCTATTAACGGCACCATATAACTTATACTTTAGATGAAACCTATTGGAGTCATCTATGAAATGAATATAATGTAAGATCGACTACGACATGAACCACCTACCGTCGGCCTTTCCATCGAAGTGTGTCTTCGCTACAGATACAAACGTTTCGTAGGTGCCCTGCACGATGCCCTGAGACCCTATGTAAATCCATGATCCCGCTGTCATCTGGCCATACATCATCAGTCCCTCTTTGTCTAGTTTGCTGAAATGTTCCCAATTGGCCCAGTGTGGTACCTGGATACGAATGCACATGCGAAGTGTCAATTATATGACCAAGTACAGTAGTACATGTATGCAATAAGTCTACAGAGCAGTTTAAAAGAAACAAGGGTAGTTTGCAACCGAACGGGAGACAGAAGATGCTACTATGAAGTAGAGCCACTCAATAAAACCGAGTTTCATAGAATCAAGGATTGCCACCCGCTTTGAGTGCAGACGGTTCGAGTGAACATCTTCAAACTGATGAAGCTTGCATGAGACGTCAAGCAGATTGCATCTTCTGCTATTATTCCATACCAAATTGGAATTTGCAATGAGCACTCTCGGCGTTTCGGGATGAGTCTTGAATACGCCCACTGGTTTACCGCTCTGTATCAAAAGTGTTTCATCACCTTCCAGTCGCTTGAGGGTTTCGATGATCTTATCGTAGCTCTCCCAATTACGAGCTGCCCGTCCAATCCCACCATACACCACAAGCGCTTGAGGATGCTATGGTCGTAAAATAGAGTAACATACAGGATATGAACATATTAGAAGTGGGTCTGGGTGAATGAGGATGTGAGTGAGCATCAGAACCAGTAAATATATTGAAGTGTCATATGTACGTTGCTTGAAACCTCACAGCATCATGTTAGTATAAAATAACGAAGTACTTGTGCAGTATAAACCTCGGATATCTTAACTCAGGTATAGGAATACCAGGTGCAACTGTACTTCAATCCGAAAAACGACTTGATCTCGAGCTGGTCTCATGATACGGCAGTTTTAACTCGAACTAGCATATCACAACCCCTACCTCTGCTACTTCAGCGTCCAAGTTATTCTGGAGCATGCGGAAAGCTGCCTCCGTTAACCAGCTCTTACAGTTTAGAGTTGTCCCTCTGGGAGCGCTGACGTTGCGAGAGGGGTCATTGCGGGAGGTATCCATCTTTTTATCGTTGAAATTAGGCTTGACTTGTGGCTGAGCTGATCCAACAAATAGGCTGTGCAATTCAAAATTCATCGCACATAATTTAGTGGCAAGGATAGATTAGCGAGCAACTATGAACAAGCGATAAAACCTCAAAACCATAATTCTTCGACACGCTGACAAATGCTATATCAAATGAGTATAGTAAGGAACAGCATACTTTTTAATATCGGCCGTGGAGAGTGAAGGGTTACAATTTAGTCTTGGATTAAAGAAAACACAGTAAAGTTTTTGAGTTCACAATTGTAAAACTGTATTGTCTACTGTAACATTTGTTAGGGACCTCACTACTTATAGGTCTCGTTCGGAGCAGCCAAAAGCACAAGCTTGCAAACAATAGAGTGCAAAAATCGTCGAACAATAGCCACCATACGACAATCATGTGGTGGAATCCCATATGATGTTTGCTATTTGCATAACAATCCCCTTCTCCAATGACAATCGTTGTTTGTATTTATCAGAATGAGTAAAGCAGTGTGTATGTATTGTAAAATGTAAATAGTGTTGTATATTGTATACTCAATTACTCAATGTACTATGCCAAAAAAAAGCGCAAACAGCCAATAGAAAAGAGAAAACTACTCCAAATATTCGAAAATGAGTATAGCATGCCAAAGGTCGGCGTTATGATGTTGAATTTTCAGAAATCTGACGAAAAAGAGTCCATACCAGTCCCTACTGCGGGTATTTATAGAAACAAAGAGATTCTAAAAAAAAACACCGAGAAAGATTCAAAACAATGCTCACTGCGGGGAACCTTGAGGATACTTTTCAGGAGGAGAAAACTCAATAAAAGCCTCTTAGAGCCCACTTGGATACCGTTGCTGAATTGGCAATCGTGGACTACCTGGGAACAATAAAATAATAAAAGTACTTTATTATGTATGTATAGCTTTAGATATTATTGAATATGTGTATAATATTTGTTCGGTATGTGTGTGGATTGTGTCATGTGGGCTGTTGTAGACTGTGGAATGTAGAGGGCTGAGCGTAGACTGTAGTCCGACTATTTATTAAGAATATCCTGCGAAGTCAGACTCTCTACTAGTAGAGTACTATAATAGTGAGAGAGAAGTTAAAAGGAAAATTTATTCAAATACGGATACCACAAGCCCACACCACATAACGGAGTGAATGAATTATTAAAAGCCCGTAGGACGCAGATTTTGAGAGTTTGTGTGCATATA